TGCTGCCTGATTTCCAAAGACTTCTGGTGGCCTAGTTTACGGAGGGATGTGGAAGACTTTGTCAAGGCCTGCGATATCTGTGTTAGGAATAAACTACCACGGGCTCTTCCTTGTGGTCTATTGCAGCCCTTAGTCGTTCCCAACAAACCTTGGGCTAGTTTGGCTATGGATTTTATTGTTGATTTGCCGGTTTCCAATAGACACACTGTTATCCTCACGGTTCTTGACAGGTTTACCAAAATGGCTCATTTCATCCCCTTGCCTAAACTTCCTTCCTCACCCGAACTGGCCGTGATATTTGCTAGGGAGATTTTTCGTTTACATGGTATTCCCAATGAGATTGTGTCTGACAGGGGGTCCCAGTTTATTTCCCGTTTTTGGAGATCCTTCTGTTCCCAGTTGGGCATCAAGCTGAATTTTTCTTCGGCCTATCATCCTCAATCTAACGGAGCAGCCGAACGCACTAACCAGAAAATTGAGCAATATCTACGTTGTTTTGTTTCTGAACACCAGGACGATTGGGTCGGTCTGATTCCTTGGGCGGAGTTTGCTCACAACAACCTTGTTTGTGGTTCCACTCGTAATAGCCCCTTTTTCTTGAACTATGGCTTTAACCCTACTATTCTTCCGTCGGTGTCTCCTTCCCAGGGTTTACCGTCGGTTGATGTTCATATAGCCAACCTGAGAAAGTTGTGGGATCAGACTCGACAAATTCTTACGCGTAGTTCCGCGGTGTTTAAGATGCATGCTGATAGGCGTAGACGGCCCGCTCCTGTTTTTTCTCCGGGTGATAGGGTCTGGTTGAGTACCAGACACATTCGCTTGAAAGTCCCTTCCTTGAAGTTTGCTCCTCGTTACATAGGTCCTTACAGGGTGTTGAGGAGGATCAACCCGGTTTCTTATTTGCTGGACCTGCCTCCTACTCTACGTATCCCTAACTCTTTTCATGTGTCTTTATTGAAACCTCTTGTTTGTAACAGGTTTTCTTCCCACTCTGCTCCTCCATCTTCGGTTCGAGTGGATGGTCAGGAAGAATATATTGTTAGGTCCATTCTTGATTCTCGTATTTCTAGGGGGAAGTTACAATACCTCATAGACTGGAAGGGTTATGGTCCAGAAGAGAGATCTTGGGTTCCTTGTGAAGACGTGCATGCTCCTCGTCTTCTTCGAGCCTTCCACGTTCGATTCCCTTCTAAGCCCGGTCCCATCCGCCCGGTGGGCGTTTCTAAAAGGGGGGGTACTGTCAGGTTACCTGTTAATATTGCCTCCGAGGAGGACAACCTCTCTTCATAGGGGCTCCCCTAGCATTTCGGCAATTCCGGCCGTTTTCGCGCCGGCCGCGCTAGCTCCTCCCCCTTTTATGACGCGACGGCTAGCGTCGACGTCATGACGTCATCATTAACGTGAAGTGCCGGGAACCGCAATTCCGGACCTTTTGGGGGCGTGGTCTCAATTAAGGTGACAGGGTATTTAAGGGAACTTTTACTACTGCTCATTGCCCTGTCGTGGTTCTAGCTTGCTAGTCACTCAGCGCGTTCTCTCTCTTAGTGTTTTGGGTTTTGACCTTGCTTGTACCTTTGTCCTGTTGCTCTCTCTCCTCTCCTTTGACCCGGCTTGTTCCTCGCTTACCTGTCCTCCGGCTCCCTCGACCTCGGCTTACCTTTTGACTATTCTTGTTTTGTCCATACGTTAGTCCGGCCATTCTAAGGTCCGGTATACGTACCTCCTCCTGTCCGCACTCTGCGTATTGGATCCCTGTCACTATCCTGACAAGAGTTCACTCTCCACTGAACCACCAGGAAAGGCAGCAGGACTGGGATATTAACTAATCTGCCCCCACCTCCACCCAAACATACATCACCCTCGCACACACAGCACCCACACACACCCAGTACACTAACAGCATCCTCACAAACACACAAAACCCACACACAAACAGCACACTAACAGGACCCGAACAAACACGCACACACAAACACCCTCTCACACACACACACACACACACACACACACACACAGCACACAAACAGCACCCTCACACACAGCACACTAACAGCACTCTCACAAACACACACAAAAACACCCTCACCCACATAGCACACTACCAGCACCCTCACACAGCAGTGCATATATATATATATACATATACACATGGCGTGTTTGTGCTTTAGGGTGCACACCCTAATGCAATAGGCTGCGCACCCTAATCTATAGGCTGCTGCCCCCCCCTAATCTATAGGCTGCTGCCCCCTCAAATCTATAGGCTGCTGCCCCCCCAAAATCTATAGGCTGCTGCCCCCCCCAAATCTATAGGCTGCTGCCCCCCCAAAAAAATCTATAGGCTGCTGCCCCCTCCAAAATCTATAGGCTATCTCAAACCCTCCCCCCATCCCCCACTCCCCTGATCTGTAGGCTGTCTCTGGCTGCATGTGTTGCTCCCCTGCGGTTTCAATCAGCAGAGAAGCAGGGATAAGATGCAGCTTCCTATCCCTGTCTCTCTCTCCATACACACCGCGGCAAAGCTCCAAATCTCGCGAGAT